TGTTTGGGTCAGTTTTCCCTCTTGGTGAGTCTGTTAGTATCAATATATCCCTACAGAAAAGAGATTTTATCTCAGATTTTCACCATTTAGGTGGCATTCCCACATCAAAGTACTCCCCCTTGCCTCAGAACTTTAAAAACATGTTTATGAGTCCATCTGCCCCACAGTAAATGCAGGGTCTGATTCAGCAAAGCACTGAGCTTTTGCTTAACATAGAAAAAAGGACTTCTTGGTATGCTTTTAGCATAAGTTCATGTGCTCCAAACTGAAAAGCTTTTACATGGGACCAATCTGCCCGGTTCATCTCTTACTAAACTGAATTATATGGAAATTTTCACTGTTGTCTCCCAGTGCCACACTCCACCTTCCCTGCATAGGAACACATTCAAGACAGATACTGGAGACCTCAGCTGCACCATGTAAAAGAAAATCAAGTGCTAATAGCACAGATGTGGAGATATACAAAAGGAAAACAATTGTAAAAGCAGTCAGATGCTTATGGCTTCACCTACACTGGCATTTGTAGCACTCTTCTTTAAAATGGCTACTTAAAATTCAACCGTAATCACAAAAATGGAAGTATTAATTGCAATTTAAAAGGAAACAGCAGCACCCAAGGAGGAGAAAAAAAGAAAAATGTTAGCTTGACTATTACACTCTGGTAGTTAGCCAACTACGAGGAAAAAAAAATCTGTGCCATTTCTAGTTGAAAGTGAATTAGAAACAAACTTATAAATCCTTCAAGAAAGTGTGTGAATCTTATACCCTTGAATGATCCTAAGCTATTAGTAACCTCAGCCAATTAGATATTTTCAGGTATTTATGCATGATTTATTCCTCCCTTTCCTCTAAAATACTGATACCTCAGGCATGGTATAAACTTCAAGGAAGACCAAAAGCATTCCCCTCTCCTTGGGGTGTAACCAGAACAATCACACATGATCAAACACAAAACCTCCCATATGCTCTGATTACAGAGTGCAGATAGAGGGATGCTGTCACAGTGGCATTTACACTACAGATTCAGCCGAGGTTGGAAAGCAAGCAAGTCCTTCACACAAGCCAGAGCTCACTGATGGCTAAAGCCAAGTCCAAGCAAACATGTCGAGGGGCACAGTAACAATTCCATTTACAGGCATATAGGTCCCCTGTATGAGGGCTTAACAGACTGTTTCTTGCTCTCTGTTAACAGGCAATCAACAGATTGCAGACCCAGCACGACCTCAAGTTTAACTGCCTGTATTATGGCAGAGTCTCAGCACAGGCCATCTCTGCCTGGTAATATTTAAGATCAAAGTACAAAGTAAAAACATGGCTGATGGGAGTTGAAAAGGAGACAAACCTGACCCAGTATGAAAAGTGGTAGTCCAGCTGGGCTCTTTGCCTAGTTTTTGAGGAAAGATTTTACAAGGAAAAGAAAGAAAAAAAAGAGGAAAGATTTTCAAAGAACAATAGCGAGATCTTCTATGAAAATATGATTATCCAATGCAAGACTGGGGGGATGGTGAGAAAGAAGAAAGAGCATAAAGTGCTTTCTAATCTCCATATTAGATTTGAAACTAAGCACTTCTGCTCTTCAAAAAGACTAAGTGTCACTTCAGTTTTCTTCAAAAGATGCAGATTCTAAAGCCTAAGGCAAGCGCCTCTTGCAGTCCAGTGAACCCTATTTTCTATTACACAACAACTGTTTCTTCATATGTCTACACAACATTATATGTTAGAAACCTTAGGAAAAGCTTTTCATAGATAAAACTGTCCAGGGTATCTGCTCTAAGGAAGGTGCTTGACATCCTCTTCACAGATTGCATGCAATAGCTCAGCCTGCAGATGCACAAACCACAGAGCCACAGGGCCTATACTGACCCTGCTCCACTTAGACAGGGCAAGTATTTTAGGTCTTTGTTCAAATAACAGGCTCTACAACACCTACACACAGTTTAAGTGATAGCTATTCCAGTGAAAATGTGAAGAACTTAACAGATTTGAGTGCTCAACACTGAGCATTCATTTTCTTGAAGTTTTTCAGATTAGCAATGTCAGTAGCAAGAAAAAAATGTGTATCTATATCATAAAGAAAACAATTCCATTGGGCAAGGTTCCATTCACTCTAAAGGGTATTGCTGAATCAGTTTGCATATCAAGCAAAATTAATAAGCAGATGATATTTTAAAATCAGCCTATCCCAAGCATTGAAGAAAACAGCATAAATTCTTCAATGCCGAAGACAGGGGAGTAGAAAACCAAGTATTTCCTTGGTCCACTTGCAATTTGCTTTAAACAAAAAAAAAAGTAATTTCAGAGAAGATGACTTAGTTACATTTGAGTATTTATAATGGGCTTTTTGCAACAGCATTGAAGGTTGATCCACTGCTGCTTTGGATTCCATTTCTAGCCCAAGTCATGGGAAACAGAAGGAACTAACAGAGTAACAATGTGTATATTCCTAAATTCCAACAAGTCAAGGGTAAAATAACAGCTAATGCATTTGTGGTGCAAAATTAATACCAAACTGCCTTGCCTTTAACTGATGAAATAAAAAGGAGAAGCATTAATTCCATCGTTGGCCTCAAATTCACAGAATGCAGCTGCAAGCAAGACTAAGAGGTGGAAGAGGAAATTCTCAGGAGCTTGGCCAGGCTGAGACAACTGCATATGCAAGTTACTGAAAGACAGTATTCCTTCTTTTTCTGAATAGCTACTGGAACAGAGGCCACCAAATACTGAAAAATGAGATCCTAAGACACAGAACACAACTAAGTGTGGGCACCAGAATTAAATGCATCAGTGTTGTGGGCTTTTTCTCCAGAAATCCACCTGGAAAAAACTATTTTCAGTCTCAGGAGTCCAGTCAGCAAACCCATGACAATTAGTTGCACCCACTGTGTCAAAAGGCAATCTCCAATCAAGGAAACAGGAAAATTTGATTTCATATAAATACAAGTGTCAAATATTAATGATAGCCATGCAACCTACTGTTTGATGATGTCCTCGCTCAGAAAAACTTGGTCATTTAATCCAAAAGCTATTCATTAGCCTGAGCAATGCCTGCAGAAGCCAAAGCCTGCTAGTACTTACAGTCCCTCAAAAACTTTGGTTTTCTACTGACCCTAGCTACTCTGCAGCCCTACTTACTACTCATGTAGGTCTCCACTTGCAGGGGTTCTAGTTGAGCGCAGATGTCTGACCTGAAGCCATCAGCCTTACACAGTTAGTTGGATCCATGCCTTGGGCCAACTCTGGTGAATGAAGAACATATTTTCTCTATTTCAGCGCCAGGGAGACAAAACAAAATAAAACTTAACTTGAAAGCAGGAACTGTAGCTCACCTCAAGTACATCAAAACAAAGAGTAGAACTTATTCACTGCAACCTTACTCTTCAGCCAGGACATTTAACCTGTTTAATTTTAAATACTTGTGTCCCAACACAAGAGGAAGGAGCAGGCACGTTATTTAACATGAGGTGAAGGTAACAAGGGACAGCACTGGCAGCAAGATGCTGCTGCTTCTCTGTCCTCCAGAGTCTACTGTGCTTATTAGGTAGGCATCACCACATTAACTGGAGCTATTTACCCTTTCCATTATTTTATAGGTGACCTATGGAATTATTCCCTAGTAGAAAACACAATTCATGTCAAGACATTATAATTCCTGACTAGGAAAGGAATTTCTGCATGTCTTGTCTGAACAGCCAATTATCATGAGCTTAATTTCAATAAGAGCAAGCGCAGGTAAAACCTTCAGTATCCATATCCATTAAATGTTCTAATCACTAGGTCCTTAACTGCTCAAAGCCAAGACCCTTTTTGACTCAGAGGCTGCAAAGACAGTCAATTTAAAACCATTCTGGGCTATCACAGCTAGAATTATGAATCTACAGGTAGCCCACCACAATATCCCGTGTGACAGCAGCTGCATTTACACATGGAAATGTTGAGGAAACATTCCTGGAGAAAGGTATATTTGGTTGGAAAAAGCTGTTGCACATCATGCAGTAGTTATGAGAAAATATATTAACAGAGTAAAGCGTATGCAATTTTTTTTTTTTTTGTTGTTAAAAGCTTAATAGTTTTCCTAGGCACTAATGAAACTTGACAGCTTTTTCAGAAAAAAAACTTCAAAATTAAAAGCTTTCTGTAATGGAATAGAAAAAGTTTTACATGCCTGACCACAAACTCTGCATTTTTTGAGGAATTTCATCCTTCTGGAAAGCACTTAGTGTGGGTATTGAGCATACAAAAATCTAGGATTTCCTCTCCTATCTGACTTCCCTTGCCCAAGGGAAGAGAGGACAAGAACAAATGATAACATTTGGCTAAACTACTAATATATGACTTTCAGTTTCCTCTAAAAGCTTAATACTCAATAGCCATATCTAGTTCTTTTTGCTTTAGACCTCTTGTTTGACCAAACATGACAGTAAAATGTTTACAGAAGGGTGGTTTTTTTTTACATTTTGTTTATTTATTTTTTAAAGAAATGGAGAAACACTCAGTAACTTCTTGTGGGGAATAGGAGCTTCTTTTTGAATTCCAGATGATTATACTACTCACATATTACTGATTTTTTATTAGTTCTGCAATACCAATGATGGGAAAGAAGGGGCAAACGGCATTTATGAGTTCTATTTCAAGTTCTGCCACTTGATTTGCTTTTATGACTTTAAATAATTTATTCTATTTCTTTCTCTAGCTCAGGTTTCTTCTTCTAAAAGATGGATAGAAGCCAGTATTTCCTACATTACAAAGGCAACAGGAAAATAAATTAATTTTCAATATGCTCTAAGGACCTGGGAGTCTGGAGTTATGAACTCCAGAAAGATTATTCCCTCCAAATAGCAGTATTTTTAGATCCTTACAATGGTAAATGATGCATTATTACAGCATTATCATTTACATCATTAACATTCAGAATATACCACATCAGAGGTTTTCCTTAATTTGTTTTCTAGCCTGATGAATAAGAAGCTTCTTGACTTCCATGACAACTCTTGTTTTAACAGAAAAACTGCATTAGATCGCTACAGCCTGGAGAAGGAGGGATTCACCCACATCCTCAACGCGGCCCACGGTCAGCGGAATGTGGACACGGGACCAGAGTATTATCACAACATGGCTGTGGAGTACCATGGAGTGGAAGCAGATGATCTCCCCACTTTCAACCTCAGCCAGTTCTTTTACTCAGCTTCTAAATTCATTGATAATGCGCTTCAGGATGAAAGAAGTAAGGAGGGTGCTGAAAATGGTTAAAAACAGTTCAACAGTTACTCCATGTGATTAAAAGCATAGTTCCACAGCACTCAACCTTGTAAAAAAGAAACAAGTCCAATACAGGTTAACAGAGAATATAAAGCCAATAGTAGGGAACCACTTTAAGACAAGGTACTAATGTAATTAGGACCTTTCCCACTAATACTAGCCCAAGAGCCCCTTACCAAGCACTTTGATAAAAGTCCTCATCAAAGCATGAATCAAGGTGTCCTATCTGATAGAGATTTTTTTGTTGTTGTTTTGACTCTCTGTCATAAGCACATCAGAGACAAATGGACATTGCATAGGTGCCACAAATTAGCTTTTTTTTCCCTCAATTTATCCTTATTAACATAGGTTTAATGAATATTAGTTGCATAGAGGTGGGAGTAGAACACAAGTGCTCTCAGAGATTCCATGCTGTCACTTTACAGCTTCATGCTCTACAGCATTAGATTCACACTATAAATACAGAAACCACCCTTCCAACCTGACCATCAGATCAACCCCAACCTATAACATTTATCTCTCTGCCATCTTCCAAGCAGCAGGGAACCAAAACAGCTCTGACAGCAGTAATCTAGAAACATTTCATTAAAGTCGTTGTAATTTCTCAGCTTGATTACTACAATTCATTATTTGCTGATCTCCAGCAGTGTTCTATCAGAAAGCTTTACACTGATGTGAAGTGCTACAGCCTAGGCCTCACACTGACTTTCAATATTAGTCCTACTCCTTCCCCCCTCATACTTGTTTAAAAAAAAAAAAAATCTCTACAGGATATTTTACCAGAAACCAGTTGAGAACTCAAGACTTTACTGCTGACATATAGAGACCTTAATATCAGAGGGTCAGAAATCAAGTTCTTAGTCTTGTGTCAGCTTCTGTTCTTGCCTGTTTAGCTCAGCTGTTGCCAGCTACTACCTGACTTGCTTCCAATAGCCAGCCAGGTCTTTACAATTCTACCCTTTCAGCAAGTACAGTCCACAGCAACAGTCCCTTCCCTTGTTCTGGAGAAACCTTGAAAGCAGATCAGTTTTAAAAATCAAAGTCGTAATAGCAGGAGAAACTGCTCTAGGAGCTTACTTGCTTCTGAAGAAATGTACCTGGCATTTCAAAAAACTAGGTCTGAAGCACTGCCTTTGGAAAGGAGTGGATAACTAACACTCACCCGTGTCTATCCATGGCTGAAGGCCAGAGGTCAGAATCAGACTGGAGTAGCTGGAATAAGAAATGCAGACTTTTTCATTCCCACCACCCTCCTGTTCCTGTAAGACCTTTGTCTGCTGTACTGAGGTAGAGAAACAAGCACAAGGGAAGCAGCAAAGGCTAGAAAAAAACCCTTGCATTCCAATAAATATTGTGGCAGGAAAGGATGAGATGGGGTTGGGGGAGGAGTATTAACCTTTTTGTTTCAAAACCACATCAAAGTCCAGGAAGATCTGAGACAGTATCAAGCACCAGTCCAGCACTGAAACATGAAACCAAATCAAAAAATGACTGAATGAACTACAAAACAAAAAAAGTAGATACTACCAACTGCAATACTTTTTTGTTGTTGTGCAGTGCCTGCCACATTCACATGGCTTTTAAACAAGATAGACAGCTAGGATCTTTTCTGATGGAGGCCAATAAAATAAAGAATTACTGTAATACTCATGAAGAAAAAGAGGACGCTCTTTATCATGAGGGAAAAGCACACTATATGTATGCACATCTTATCCCAGCCAAAGACCTGCATAAAGACACGATGCATGGCCCAAGGAGACACTGAGGCTTAAAGCATGACAATGGTTTTCCAATAAACATTCACAGAACAGAATGACTCCAGAAGTTAGACTGAAGACTGGACTGATGACTTTCAAAGAGAAAGAGTAGAGGTAACTACTACTCTCCTCCAACAACATAAATGCATTATTTGTGGATGCACATCTAGTGTAGAAAGATGTTTTGCATTTCAAGTGCCTAATAAACAGGCTATTTGCGCACCTTCCTCATAGAGAATCCAGATTCTTAAACAGGATTTTATACCAAGTGAACAAGCACTTATCTCCAGTGGTAATGACATGGAACTTCAGTATGTGGTGGTAAATACTTCTGACCAGTAACACCATTACACTGCTTTGCTGCTTTGTATTAGAACAGAGCAAATGCAGAGAGAGAAAAGGGGGAAAAGAAATAAGTTTCAATTTATGTGACCAGAATGTATGTATGAATGAATTTTCTTTTTACTTTAGCTGTATTACATTGTTTGGGGTGCGACCTTCAGCCAGCCAGCCAAGTGATCAAAGTAATTGAATAGATGTCTGCATACAATTATTTTTGCTGGGAAGGTGCTCAACAGCCAATGTTATTGAAACAAGTTGTTATTCAAATGAAGAAGGCTCTTTCTGCAACATACCAGAAAGCTTGGCAATTTGGATGCTATCAAAATACAGTCCTAATGCAGTAATTCTGACTTAACATTCAAAATCTTTATGAGGGTGAAGACATTCCTTGATCAGAGCAGTATTTCCAGAGTTTAAGCATGGGCTGCTGGACTTAAGAACAGTTATAAGATTTACAGGCAAACTGTAATGGTTCACAATTATGCATGCTGTCATTCAGCTGTGCATAAAGCTTTCCCAAAACATGCAATTCAGACCATAGGACAGATTAAAATTTTTATCAGTGAGGCCTCACTAACATGAAAGGAAGACATTATTTTAAGAGGCTTTTAGGTTCCCTATTATGCTACAGATTTAGCACTCATTCCCTTGCAATTTTAGTTCCTCAAGATGTAGAGGGGAATGGCATTTTCACTCCATGTGAAAATGTCACAGGAAAAATACATTAAAGACAGACAAAAAAACCCAAACTGACAAGAAACATATGAGACAAAGACCCCAGGGATTTGACCAAAGATATCTCAGTATTCATGGTTCCATCTGTGCTGCATCTAGACAGAAAAGTTTTCAAGAAACACAAACCCAAGTCAAGTGAACAAAATCGTTCAGGGGACCTGTCACCGCTCAGTAGACCTTTATCTCTGTGCACCGATACTGGATATTCAGGCACTTCTTGAAGGATGTAAGTGGTCAGAATCTGCAAGAACAGACTCCCTTTTAGGGAAAGAAAGTTCAGAGTGGTCTTTGCGCTATAATGGAAGAGGTTACAAAACAGTACAGAAAGCATGTGGCTCTGCAGAAGAGTACCAGTGTTTTGCTGTAACAGGCAGTCAGATCTTGACTACTCACACATAGCAAACAATAGACTTCCTTTCAAACCAGCAGACATTTCAGAAAATTGTACAGCCATTTTTGGCCTCTGTTAACAATACAGAACTACTTTTTCTCCCTGATCCCCTGCATTTGCCACCCACACAAAGCAAAGCATTCCTTGTCCTATCATGTATTTTATCACCTCAACAGCAACCCATTTACAAGGTGGAAAGCTCTAAAGAAAAGCAGTGAAGGGCTGAACAAATGAGTTTTCATCCATTTTAAATATCTGCAGTAATAATAGAATGGATTATAATTTTCCAGGAGGAAGAGGCACTTTCAGTTATCAGAAGGACTGGAATTTTGCCAAGATGCCTCTAAGACTATCTGCTGGGATTAGGATGCAGACTGTAACCATTAATCCTCTAGTGTTGGCAGTTCTTGATGCATCCATTAAACCGCAGTGCTACTTGTGCCAAGACATCCTCTTGTGTCTGGAAGTAAAGGAGTTAATCAGCAGGAGTCATGGCTTTGCACCCAACACTTCTAACTAGGCACAGCCGACAGAGATAGACTATTATTGGCCCTGATAGTGGTTTTTTTTGTTTGTTTGTTTTTTCTCCTGTGGCAATTGCTTAGCAGGGTGTTAAAGAGAATGCTCCAAATCTACTTTCTTCAGCAGTTCAACCCTTTGTAAGACCCCCTCAAGGGCTTTGAATCATTTTTGGAAATCTTTTGAAGTGTTTCAAAACCTGTCAATCAGACCTTAACCACTTACTGTTTTCTTCCTCCACATCCCACAGACACTGCAAACATGGAGGCTTCCCCTTTGACTTACCACCTTGCTAGTATCCAAAGCCAAGGACTTTCTGCCTCTGGAAGCCCCAAGTTAAACCAGGCAATGTCACAAAGCTAAATCTCAAGGCACATTTATCCAGAGATGAAAACTATTGGCAAAGACTCTGCATTCACAAGATACAAGACAGGCTACTACTGCGAGGAGATGATCATATTAAAACACTCAGAGAGATGAGGGTGGGTGGTGATAGTGAAGCATTACTGTCATTCAACACAACAGGGTGACTAGCCAGAGATTTCTACAGAAGCACTTCTACAGTGTAAGAGGTGGTTTCTTTCTACCCCCTGGTTATATGCCTATGGCCTTTCTTATCCTCTGCCCTCAAAAATGGGCAAAAAATGATGCAATCTAGATCTCAAAGGTCATCATTGTCAGAAGAACAAAACAAAAAATGAAATTTGGTTACTTTTTGTGTCTAGCTTGTAGAACTGAGAAAGGCACCCCACATGCATCCCATTTATCCTCATGGAAGGAGGGTTTGATAGCATACCAAATCCTCCCACACCCTTGTGCTTTGTTCATTATTCCCAAACACAGAATTACATGCACACTGTTTGTGAGACATGTAAGACTGGGCTGCAGTAGGGCTTGCTATGTTACCTAATGCAAGGCTGCAGCCCCTAGGCCTTCTCTGTAAGCTTTCTTCACAAATGAAAAGATATTTGGTTTAAGGTTGAATGGATCATCTCTACTGCAGATGCTGTTCAGTTACTACAGTAAGATTTACAGCCTCAGATTCCCCACACGTGAAAAGACAGGCCTTACAAATCGCTCGTAAGGGTATTCAAACCATCAATCAGAGCAGGGGCACTACAGAAACCGTCTCCCTGTGATTACCCAGTGTCACCTCTGCATCACTTCTCTTTGTTCCCACAGACAAGGTTCTGGTTCACTGTGCCATGGGCCGCAGCCGCTCAGCCACGCTGGTCTTGGCTTACCTGATGATTTACAAGAATATGACAGTCGTGGATGCCATTGAGCAAGTGTCAAGACACCGGTGCATCTTGCCAAACCGGGGCTTCTTGAAGCAGCTGAGGGAACTGGACATAGCGCTGGCACTGCAGAGGAGGAACAGCAAAAACAGCCTACCACCTGACGACAAGCAGAACAGCACCACCATCTAGTATTGCTCCTGGCAGGGTTGTGCTACTGGAAAAGAAACTCCATAGAAGGAGGGGCGGGGAAGGTGTAGTTAATTACACAGTCACAAGGATCATTTGTTATTTGATAGAAAAAAACCAAGTCATTTCAAATGCTGTCAAGATGAGAAAGAAGGGAGGCCAAATTTAAAACCCATTGTCTTAGGAAGTTCCAGCCTTAGCAGAATTCTTTGTTACATCAACAAATAAGTTTCTCTCTCCGTAAGAAACCTTTTACAGCACAAAAACTTAAAACTCTCCTCTAGCTGAGTATCTCCAAAATCGTGATCCTAACCCAAGCACACTCACTCCCTTTAAACAAGTGCAGCTAGGCACACCTGAAGAAATTTTGCAGGAAAAACACTGATGAATTGTTTAGTCCAGAGTCCTGAAGGATTTCACAGGAGTATGCCTTTTTGTGTTGTTTCCTGGCATCTCCATGCCTTCTTGCACAGTGATAATCTAGGGCAGCACAGTATTTAAAGAGCCTCCACATGAGGATCAACTACTCGGTCTTCACAATGCACTTTGCAGCACACCATACAACATCCTTGAGAAGGTCAGAGGCATAACAGCTACAGCAGACAACAATTCAAGGAGATACATACACATGACATTTCAGGAGTCCTTCAACTGCCTAAATTTTACAAGGTTCTATACATAAAGAAGTGCCTTTACATTGTTATGAGGAAGTTTGGTGCTGAACCTGTGGAGCCCTAATATAGCCCCTAAATAATTATGGATTATAACCAGTTCTAATGAGGTTTTAGAAAAGGCAAGAGACACCAATGAAGCCTTTAAAAAATACCAGTGACCTGACTACCCTGGAAAAAGCTCCTGCTGTGCTTCCAGACACTGTTTATATTTATCACTACCAAATGTTTTTTTCTTATCTCAGCTTCAGTCACCTGAATAGGTCATTATGCTCCTATATAGTTGCATTTGTTAATGAGGAATGACTTGGCCATCAAGCACACAGGAAAGTTTTCTTGGTCTTTAACACCCAACATAAGACTTTGAAACTTCAGTGCAGTATCAAGTGTAGAAGTCTTGTATACTTAAGAAAGAATACAGGGCAGAAACATGACACTGAAAACTGTGAGTATATGCTACAAACCAGAGTCGAGCACAACTGTATACCATTTTTATATATTTTAACAGCTCTTCACAGGCTTGCCATCTCTAGTGTAAAGACTTTCCTATTCCTTCATGTCTTTTTGGGGCCCAAAACCCAGTTAATCATTCATCTCTAAACACTAACTGTAGCCAAGGCTGCAGACACCCATAATACAATGATTTTATCATTTGTATTTATCTGCATAACAAATACCTTATCTTTAAATTCTCAGACTGCAATTAACCAAGGATAATTAACGAGACATCAGAATGTGAAAAATATTCATGATGGAGACACACAAACTCTGGGACTTTAAGCAAGTTAAGTATCTCTACACTTAGATTAGGGAAAAAAAAAAACCACCCAGAAAAAAACCCCGAAAAATATAGGGAACTTGAAGTAATTTGACACTTCAAAAATAAATAAGCAGTCACAGAATGGGGTTAGAGTAAAAATATTTTAGGATGGGGTCCCTCAGCTCTTTCCATCTACTTCCATAGACATTCATATGCACCTTCTTAGACCACCTTACTAATTTTAATTAGTAGTTTAATTCACAAACTCAAACATGGGACAGTTCACCCACAGCCTTGTGTTAGACAAACCTGCTTTCAGATGAATGGCCCTGCTCTTTCATTTAGACTGAAGGTGAACTGAACACTCTTGCTCCATGACAGCAGTGTGTTTCTTTGCATTAGCTTTACAGACACAAAGTCTGGACCAAATGATATACCAAAAGATAACAAATATTCACCAGGATTTCCCTCAGTCAAATTACATGTATCCTGCCATATAGCTTGATGACTGCTATAACTGAAAGAGGATTTGTTGATTTACATGCATAACTGATCACCCTCAGCACTACAGAAAACTGCCAGGGCCATTCTTTCTAGATATCATGCTGGATATAAACGTAGTTTGTTTCCATCAATCAGCCTGCCTAATGGACAAATTAACAGCTTATAAAACTGAAAGACATTGACAGTGATCTAATATGAAAGATTAGTATGCTTAGCAGCTCATAGCTTCTGCTTACATCACAGAGATTCTTACAAAGTTAGTAAAAAATGAGCTATATTTTGTCCACTGCGAAGGGATCAGGTAGCCTGGGTGCAACAGCACTTACCATTCCTGTTTTTACTAAACGGTCAGAGTGCAGCTTTCAGTACTGCCTCTTGGCAGCTTCCAGACGAAGTATGTTCTGCTTCAAAGACAAGTAAATATCTTCCCTAGAACCAGGTCTTGCCTGAAGGACTCAGCTGGTACAGCTGTGCCAATTAAACAGCTCTCAAGTAAACATATTTCTCATTTATTTCCCAGCTTTCTTGCCTACCTTTCTCCCAGAATCCATTAGACTAATTAGAAAAAGCAGAAGTTCTGGAACATGTGACTTCCACAAAGCAGGCAACTCTTGCAAGCTGCTAACTAGCTACTAACAAGTGTTAGCAGCACTGACTTCAGCTACAAGCCAGGACTCTAAGAAACACACACAGAACAAGGCAAGTTTACCTCCTTCTTGCCAATCATTAGTGGTAAGGAGTATTCTGTTTGTCAAACCAAACATTAATATTGCATGGGCAAGGAAGCCTCCTACATTCCACAAGAATTATTTACTGCAATTCCGTGAAGAATTTTTTGGGGACACTAAAAGAAAGGGCTAATTCTCATCTGGGATGGTGTTACAGTGTATAGTCAAAACTGACACTGCAATGGGCACACAATACATAAAACAAGCATATCTGTAAAGGAAAAGACAGCCTTCTTATAAAACAAATTTTAGTGCAGTAATGCAATTCATAGCTAAATAGTCACTACAGGAAAAGATGTAGGAAAGCTCCTTGTCCTCATTACAGGAATTCAATTCTGAAATAAAAAAAATATATTGGAAACTTGCCTGTTGTGCACACACTATACATAATTTTCCAACCAAACTTTAATTCATATATTGCAAATACAGAAACTTGGCAATATGCTGGAGTCAGGATGCTCTGTTTCAGGTTAACACATATTTAAAACAGTAAGAAAGTCTGATTTGCTTTTATGTTACAGGCTTCGAAACTCAAAACTAAACAGCAGCAGATAAAAGACCCAGGTGCCTTTTTCATTCACTGCAAAAACACACAAATGAAAAATCACAAAGCATACTGCTATTTTAAGATGCAATTATTTAAAAAGATATGGTCGTCACTAAACACGCTTGAAGGCTGCACATAAAATGTGTTGAGTTCACCTTTCCCTTTCATAAGCATAAAAAAATTGACAGTTACTTTGTGAAGATGAAAACATAGTTTAATTACTATAAATACTCTGCCTTTAATAAACAAATTTGACAACGCAAGTGATATAAATGAAGATCTTTGTTGTACTGTGCTCTCTTTATCAAGTGTTCTGAACTCCTAAAACACAAGCTACTCCAACTTACCATTTCACCATCAATTTTAGCTCCCATTCAGATCCACTGTCTTAGACTGATGCTCCATTGTACTAGAACTGAACAGGTTACACGCATGAATCTGTAGTATCACTTTCTTGATTTGGTAACACCATTCAGCTATGGTTCTGTCTGAAGAAATATGCATTTTTTTGGATGTTTGGGTATGTGAAATACTACCTATAAAGCTGCTTTATATACTGGAATGGTGGCACAGTTTTCAGTCAAGAGGACCAGTGCTTTCACCTTAGTCAGCAACCTTCCTGCGGTGTCACTGGGCTAGAGGGGGAACAATCACATTAGAAGCATTTTGAAAAATTTTTACAAAGATTTTTTTTCTGGTGTAGATTCACACATACCTCATTTTAACTTGTCCACTCACAAGCTACATGTACAGACAGCCTCCCTGATATTTAGAGACCACCTACTGCTAGATTAGAAATGTTCATCTATGTATGTATATTTGTGTGTACCCATATCCGTATACACATAATTTGCACCATCTTGTCACCCAGCAACAATAACAAAGGAAGAAATTACAATTCTATCATTAAAATACAGTTCAAACACCATGTCTGTTACTATCATATATCCTTTTATATATATATATTAACACTTTCTATAGGAAAGAAGTTTCATACATTAAATATCGACAACCTTTTAGCGTATTAAATACATATTTATTCAGTATTTTATTAAGATTATTTAAAAAAATAATCTTAGATACTCTTTATTTTCACAAGGTGTATGCCATTATGATGAGTAACCTACACTTAGGCTCTAACAGCCTAATCCAAACCCCACCAACTTTAATGGGCTTTAGATCAAGCATGTGAGAGCGCCGTAACAAACACTGTTTCAGGAGGTAATTCCCATGCAACATCAAACTATGACAAGACACAAGAGGCTAAAAATGGCTCATCATAATTTATTTTATGTTAAAATGTACAGCTTAGGGGGGGTTGTTTTTTGCAGTTTTTATTTTTGTTGCTTGGGTGGGTTTTCTGTGGGTATTTTTTTTAAGTGACTGACTAAAAAGATAACAGATAAATACAAGAGTGTCACCAGGTCCTATTTTTACATGTATCAAGCCTCTTCTGTTCGGCCCTTACAGTCACTCTGTACAGGTACAAAGGCTACAAAAAAGGAAGCAATATAAACAGACACAAATAACTTTTGCCTTTTTACATGCGATCTGTAAGCTTAGTTTGAGCTATTCACACGCTACTGCTCTATTTTTTCCCTTAAAAAATAACTCCAATATTTTATAAAGATAGAAAAATCTACAGATGGAATGAAAATGTAAAGTTAGAGGCATTTCCATAAAATAGCAACTTTACACCAAATTCACTACTTTTTTTTTTTTTTTAAATCCTGCCAAGTATTTGGACATATACGAAAATGTTTCAAAACTTGACAAATAAACACTGAGATGTTTCAATCAACAAAAAAACATAACAGTATTTATAAAACAGAAAGCTGCCTTT